CTATTTCCATTTCTCTAATCTCTGCTTAACTTAAATACCAGCTTGTTATGTTAACTTAATGATGATGTCATTTTACTGTGTTATTTGATTTTTTGTAGAGAAGGTTGAGAAATGGAACTTGTAGGGCAGAGTTTGCAAACGACGCGCCTATCGCCGTCGCTATCGGTGCTTGCATTTTCAGCTCGTTGGTTTTCCCGACTACTTACACGGAGGATGACGAGGGCGACTCCGTGATTGATTCTGCTGATGCGAGGTTTGCTGTTATGGGAATTATCAGCTTCATTCCGTATTTTAATTGGATGGTGAGATTTCTCGTCGCGCGTATTCATTCATTTATTCTCGATTTACGTTTAGGGTTTAGAGTTGAGGTTTTAGCTGGTTTGACAATAACGTAAAAGCAGGGGCAGAAGGCTGTATATGTCTTAAGAAATCTACTAAATATGTATAAAAATTGAATTCGGAACTCAGTTACTACCACTTGAGGTCACTATCCTAGAATTCAGAAATCCATAAAGTTTAAATCTTGGATCCGCCTCTGTGTAAAAGTAATTAATCCATTTAGAGGATGCATATAACTGATCCTAACTAATTTGAGATTGAGGTGTGGTTAATTGATTGATATCACATTTTACTTTGTAGAGTTGGGTTTTCGCGTGGATGGATACTGGGAAGCAGCGTTACGCTGTTTATGCTCTTGTGTATTTGGCTCCATATTTAAGGTATGGAGCTCTCAAAACTTAAGTTTTCTAGCTGATGTTTTAGTATTCAGTATGTCTCTGCACCAGCCTCAATGAGTAGATAATGATTTGGCTTCCTATCTAGGATGCTAAGGACTTATCTGCAGTTACTGTATGAGCTGGGATGAGTGTGTTATAGAGGATATCAATTAAGTTGATAAGCATTTTTCTCAACTAATAATCTAAATAGCTAGACTACTTAGTTGAATAAGTTTAAAAATCTGCTTATTCTATAACACCTTTTGTCCTCTGGTTTCAGATTTGATATTTTGAAACAGTTGCTTGTATACCTGGGATGTTTCTGATGTTCAAATTAGTGTAATTCTAATTATCTTGGGAACTTTCTCTTTCTCCTTGTTAGATATATGATTTGTAGAATATCTTGAAGTTCTCCGGTTGCTTGAAGATTTAGGGTAGATTTATAGTTAAACCTCATATGGAGCTTGAACTCCAGATATGAAGAAAGTATATTATATAATCCATCAACAGACGAATCATGAAACAATTTACTCAGTTTTCCTAATGCCTTCCTCTCCAACTACATATTAAAAAGGCCTTCCCGTCAGATAGTTGATGTAATAAACATGCTAAGAAACTGCTACTTGAGTACAAGGCGTGCATGAACCTGAAGATCTCCAAATGCTTATACTATTTTCAGACTGAATTATAAATCAAAGTGAAGTGGTAAAGTTCTCTTGACTATAACAAGCTATGTTACATGGATTTGTTTGTGGATACGTATCTAGTGCAGGGTGTCTGAAAGTATCCGGGAGGGTATGTCAAGCTTTTCGCTAATTTTAGGTGTATTTTGAAAAATCAGCATGAAATAGCTGCACCTTATCACAATTGTCATAGACAGGTCATGGAAAATGAAGGACCCATGTAACATAGACGACAAGATAGGACTCCTTTGTGCTCTCTTTCTATCAGCGTGCACAAATACATTTATAGCATAGTACTCTCTGTTCCAGGAGTGGCTGCTTATCCTTCTCGATTTCCATGATAAGCTGCCAGTGTTAATGCGATTGTAAGATTTAAAGTTTATTGCTTGGAAGACAATTTATCCTAACCGTTGGACTATAAACACTTGTGAAAATCTGGAGTTTATCGTTAGTCTCAGAGGTGGCTCTAAGATTTTCACCAAGAAGCTTCAAAAAAAGGAAACAAAATGGTGCTACTGAAGCTCGAACATGGGACCTTATATAAATCTTTTTTTTTTTGGATCAGGTAAGAAGTTGTTTCATTAATCAAAGCATCCAGAGGATGCAGCATCTTACAAAAGAGAAAGCTACACCAAGCATAATCTATCAGACCACCTAATTGTTCATGGAGCTAATAATATCTAAAAGTAAATTGGAGCTATTAGCGTCATAATGATTTCACCAAGCAAAAAGATTAAGAAGACATCTAGATTTTAAAATATATGTAGGAGTTGAAGTTCCTTCGAAACATCTTTGGTTCCTCTCTTTCCAAATACTCCAGATAATGCAATGAGGGATCATCTTCCATATACTTCTGATGGGTTTCCCAACTCTCATGTTGTTCCAGCTTACAAAAACTTCTTTCAAAGATCTTGGCATAACCAGCTAATACCAAAAAGCATAAGGAACATGTCCCATATACCTTTGGCCACTACACAATGTAAAAAAAGATGGTCTATATCTTCACGGCAATTTTTACAAGTGTAGCATCTGTCGCACAGTATAAACTTGCATCTTCCTTATATAAATCTTGAATCTTCCTAATCATTACCCTAATATATTCATTATGTCAAGGGGGTCCAGTAGTGTGAGCGCACACACATAGATATACACATTATTTTACCTATAAAACAGTGAAGCTTTCTGACGAAGGAGGTTCAGTTGAAGCCCCTTGAATCAAGACAAGTCTGCTTCTGATTAATCTGTAGACATGCTAAGCTACTTTATGCTGAAGGCAGTAAAGCATAAGCCTGATTTTAATGCCACTCTTAATGCAAAAGATTAATCTAGTGGTCGCCCTTCTTGTATATTGTTGAATAAAACTTTTAACACCCTCTGAATGACAAAAGTAGATGATGTTTCTTTATGTCAAACCTCTAAACGCTGCTATACGATTGAAAAGATGGTCAATAGCTTTTTCCAAAATTTTCCTTCAAATAGTGAAAGCTCTCACTAGCTCTTTTGTTTCATTGTGGATAACATTGGATTCTAAGGAAAGTGGTATTTTCTGCTGCAGTAGCTTTAGCCAAAGCGACTACTTCAGTTTTTCCAAATGTTTAAATGAGTCGTTTTGCCTTTATATTGGTAACCAGGCATTTCATTCTCATACTGATGTTCTTCTATGCATGCAGAACCAATCTGTCTCTTTCTCCTGAAGACAGCTGGCTACCAATTGCTAGCATCCTCTTGTGCATCTTCCACATCCAAGTAATACATCTACAGTCTATCTCAAACTCAATAAATCAATTATACTGAGGTTCTAATTGGAAATATTCTCTGGTTCCAGCTAGAAGTAAGTATCAAAAATGGAGATTTTCAGGCATTGAATAAACTTACTGGGACTGGAGAGGAACTATCATCAGTTTCTAGGAAGAAAGATGATAGAATCTCTGAAGAGGTATCAATCACTTGAAATACTTATTACCAAAACTAAATGATTTAGAAGTTTAATATTCGTATCTAATATTTTTTCAAATTGGATTGAAGGAGGAAACAAATGATCATAAGAACTTGCCTTCAGCACAAGAAGAATCAAGAGATGAGATAAGGAGGTGGAAAATTTCTAGAAAGCCTTCCGGAAATCCTGAGCACTTGAATGAAGCTGAAGAAGATCTTAGTGGAAGGGAACACTAAATTTGCTTAAGCTCAGTTTTGAGGAGCTCAAAGCCAATCCTTTGATGGAGCACAATAATATGCTGGAGTATAACTATGTAGGCAGTTCAGCGTCGGAAAAAATTAAGCACTTCTGTGTCCGCAAAAGTAGATTGATCTTAATGTGCTATGATTCAACTCTGCACCAGATATCTAAATGGTCTGTTATCAAGATTGGATCAGCAGAGACTATTTTTTCACAGCTGTAGTATGACTGACTTAACTGTTTTTGATTGTATTTTAGTGGGGTTTTCCCCTTGTGCTGGTTCTCTATCTGAGCTCTATTTGGATCACCCCTGGTGGTGATAGTGATAATGTTGGGAGTCGATGAAAGCTTGTAATTTTAGTTTTTGACGCTGAACATCCTTGAGTTTCTTGCTATGTTGGCAGGTCTCGGCTCAGAAATTGTGTAATTTCATCAGGAAGAATTTTAGAATCTTGCATCTGGGTGTTTTTGATCCGCAATTCTTAAATTCCAATATTTGCAGTGCGTAAAATTATTGCATAGAAACCATGCCTATTCAACAGTAGAAAATAGTGGTCATAGACTCTAACCGCTTGTTTACCTGTTGTATTGTATCGTATTGTTATTTTAAATACAATGTTTGTTTTGATTGTTACTTAAATTTTATTGTATCGTATTGTTTAATCCATCGTTACCAAACAACGAAAAGTGCCACTTTATGGAACGACGAATTTGGTGTGGTGACGTTATTAACTTATTTTTTTTCTCTCATCTTGCTCTTCCTTATTATTTGACAATTTTTTTTTTGATGAAGCCTTCCTTATTAATTAAATAATTATATTTTATCCTTTAGCCTACTTTTATATATAATTATTCTATTCCGTATCCTATTTTTTTTTAAGTGATATTGCAAGGTTATTTTTCATATTAATGGTTGGTGACATCATGAAACGACGACAAACAATACAATCTATCCAAATATTGTATTCTTTACACATTATAATGCATTATGAAACGACATGTAACAACAATCCAAACAAGTTGTAAAGTCGAACGATATCAGCAATAAATTATATCTTAATCCCCTAGCAAAATAATTTGTAGTGTTGGAAAGAAATAGATTAAACACTACATTTTGCTAATTGTAAGGTTTTTGTGTCAATACAAAGTGAACTTTACATCGACAGCAAATCACTTGTCCATAAGAGAACGGAGATTAGAAAATATCAATCAAAAATTTAAAATACTAAGGGAAAGTATAGACATCAAAATATTCCTACCCTGTCTTTCATAATTTACTTTTCCCAATTTTGAAGCCAAATAAAATTGTTTAATTGGCACCTTTGCTTTTCCTTATTTATTATTCATTTTTATAGTAATATTTTCTACTTAAGAAATAGTCTACTTTATTTAAAAAAAAAAAAAAACTACCCCTGGTTGTTACGCTTCACGTTTTCTTTCCCTAGACGCAGCGCGCGCCTGACATTTGCGCTTATTAGAAGCTTTGTTAGTTATATTAGTTAAAATCCATTCTAGTATTCCTTTCTCATTCCAGAAGAAGAACAGAAGCCCTAAAAAGCTGAGTTTAGTCTCTCTAAATCAATGGCGGAATCAGGCACTGATGCAAAGACAAAGCTGATAGTAGAGCTTGTACTCTCCGCTGCTACGGCAGCTTTAGGGATGGTTTTCATATTCGCTGGGCTTCGTCATCTCGATCCCAATCGCGAAGCTTCTAAGAGAGCTCTCGAATCCCGCAAACAGCTCTCTAAACGCTTAGGTCGTCCTCTTATCCACACCACTCCTTATGAGGTAAACTCAGAAAATACGAAATGGTCAATATATCTATTTTTTTTTATCTCTATTCACGCACCATTTTCGCTATATTTTGGATTTTTTTAGAAACTAGTAGTATATAAAAGTACTACATATCGCGGTTGATGGAAATTTTAGTGTATTTTACTTTTGATGGTGGTGCTCGGGTCAGCTTGAGCATTCCTTGACTATTTCCACCGCGTACTTGGTACACAAGCACATGTACAGAGTAACTCTGCCACAAACGCTTAGGCCGAGAAATCACCTAGTAATTTTGTCTCTGCTAGGATTTAAACCTGAGACCTCATGATTTTTCTCACTTCATTGACCATTGGGCTATACCCTTGACCCTTGGATGTTATCGTGATTGATAGAAAATTCTTTCAAAATAATTTTGAGAAAACTATAGTAAGAATATGTTTGACTGCCAAATGTTAATAGTTTATAATGTCGTACAATGATGTGAAATGGGAAAGAGTGGAGTAAGGGTTAGTTATGATGCTTGCTTACATCCCGCTTAGCGTTATGGAAAGTTAGAGAACCTCTAATGTTAGGGAACTCACAAATTGTTGACTGTCGGAATGAAATGTGTCCAAATAGAGTGAAGTGGCAGTGTGAATTCATATGCCGACCCCAACTAGCTTGCGGTTGAGGCGTAGTTGTTGTTGTTGGTGACAATTTTACAGGATATGATTGCTGGGATTGTTGTGGTTTGACCTTCTTGGAAAATTTGGTGTCCATTTATTGAATAACTCTTTGCAGGATATGATTGCTGGAGATGTTGTGAATCCAGACCACATAGATGTGGAGTTTGATTCGATTGGGGGGCTGGATGGGATTAAGGATACTTTGTTTCAGCTGGCCATTTTACCTCTGCGAAGGCCTGAATTGTTTTGTCATGGGAAATTGCTTGGTCCAATGAAAGGGGTTCTGTTGTATGGACCACCCGGGACAGGGAAGACAATGCTTGCTAAAGCCATTGCAAAAGAGTCTGGTGCTGTGTTCATAAATGTGAAGGTTTCTACTCTCATGAGCAAGTGGTTTGGTGATGCGCAAAAGCTTGGTGAGTATTTTGAATTTCCTTTGTGTAGCTAAGTTTGTTTTACATTAGAGGTCTAACTAAATTATTGTTCTGTCTTTTGATTGAAAACTCCATGTTAAGTGCAATGATCTGTTGGTTGGATAGATAAGAAATTGGAGGGGTTGATTTAGCATGCTAAGATTTTGATATATGAAAAGTTTTTACTTCCCTTTCACGCTTAGGAGTCAGGAGGGAATGTATTGCTTAAAGGATGCACAATTTGTTTGCTAGTGTTCTGAATTTTTTATGAAGGAGCTACTCCAATCTGTCTTTACAGTAACGCGGTGTCGCTGAAAAGAAGAAAGTGGAAAGGTGTAGGAGCTATTGGAGGGGTTAGGTTTTAGGAAGTGGAGTCATGGGATGCAGATGCAGCACGCTATCTTCCTTCATATGTGAATTTTGTAGCAAGGGATTGACTTTCTATTGCTAACAAATGCAGTTACTGGAAAGTGGGAAGGAAAGAAGACGAAACTGGATAAGGCTAGACTGCATATTCATCTGCATGCTATATCAGCATTAACTAGCTATATGTTCATAATAAGCACATGATCTTTGTTTTTCTCTTTAACCTTTCTTTCCCCCCCTTATCTGTTTTTGGTTTGGTTTTTTGTTGCAGTTGCTGCTATTTTTGGTTTGGCCTATAAGCTCCAGCCTGCTATAATATTTATTGATGAAGTTGACAGCTTTTTGGGCCAGCGTCGTGCAAGTGAGACTGAAATACTGACTAGCATGAAAACTGAGTTCATGGCCTTATGGGATGGTTTTACTACTGATCGTGAGTAACAATCTGCGAATAGCTGGTTCTTTTTTGGCTTCACTTCGTATTCAAATTCACATATAATTCTAGCTTTTAGTCATGGAAATTTATACCACTCTTGTACTTTCACATTTGGGTCTTCTTTGTTTGAAATATTTCTGTAGCATCTACTTAACGGTGTTTTGGAAGAATGCTATATAATTCAGTACACTGTGCTTGGATTGATATGCTATTTTACAATAGTTACTTTCTATCTTAATGCTGTAGGACACAGATACTTGTAAGTTACATTAGGCACTAGCTGACTAGTTATGTTAAAGAATTGATACATTAGCTTGTATTTTAAGGAGTGTTTGTATAACCATTAGGCATAGTATGTCCAAGGAATGAATCCTAAAAAGTACAATTGACTTGCTTTAGAAAGGAGGGGGTGAGGGTGGGGGCTAGATACCTCCTAGGGTTACGTCAATGTGGATTAGTGATTACAAGTGACTTGCATTAGAAAGGAGGGGGTTGAGAGTGGGGGCTAGATACCTCCTAGAGTTATGTCAATGTGGATTAATGGCTCTTAGCATTGTTACCTTTTTCCTTATTATAGGTATCTATATAGTGTGGTTGGGTCGGCTATGTATCCAGGGTCTTACCATTATTTTTGACTCCAAATTATTGAGTATTGAGTGAAACAGCTCCATATGGAGTGAAATGGATTTTGAGGATTCATAGCCGACCTCAACTTGAGATTGATGTTTGCTTATACAACAATAACTATGCCTCAATTCAGCTATTTCTCAACTTTGATGGAATTAAGTGGCTTGGGAACTCACAGGATTTTTAAGTTGTTGGTTTAGGCAAGGGTTAAGTGAGAAAGAGCTGTGGCATACAACTCCAGCTTGTATCTGGTGGGTGATTCGGAGAGAAATGAACTCAAGATGTTTTGAAGGCAAACAAAAATCAGTCCACAGGAATAGATTAGATTGTATCTTGTTATTTCACTTTTGCATAAAAAGGAATATGCAAATGAGGCAGAAACTTTAATTCCTGTATCCCTCTAAGATTAGAAGAGGGCTACACTTTTGGTTTTTTCCTCAGTTGTACAGAAAATTCCAGCACTACCTTTGTGCTGTTATGAATACCACTATTACCATTTCAAGAAAAAAAAATAACTTTGCCTGTATCACAAACAAGTTAGGGTCGGGTATATGAATTCTCACTTCTCCATTTAAGCTCAGATCATGTCATCATCATACCAAATAAAAATAAGTGAGAACTAATTTAAATTAAAAATAATAGTAATAATAATAATTATTATTATTACTATTATTATATTAGAAGTTCTCTAACAAGACTAAATTGTACTCCCGCTAGTGGATATCACCTATATTATTTTTTTCTTCCATTGTGTCCTATCTTTAGCGAAGTCTGCGCTGATCCCAAGAAATACTAGGCCTTACGAGACAACTTCGTTCCCATGAGATTTTAGGTCTACCTCGTCCCCGAACCCAACTTGTTTGGGAAGTGAGCTTAAATTGATATTTACTTATATCCATTGATAAAGGAACTTGCTTTGGATTGCTGTTTAGTTGTTTCAGTTTTTGTTCTTTAAGTAATGTATACATAAATAATTTTTCCCCTTAAATATATACATAAGATGAACAGCTGTGCTGTTAAAAAAAAAAGAAAAAAAAGAAGAAGACGGGAAGGAGGTGGAACACGTGACCAGGGTTTTATTCTGAACCTTCTCTACCAGTGTGCCGGGGTTGCTGTTTAGCCAATCTAAAAAGTGTATCAATCAATCAACTAATATTAGTTGGAGAATCAGTTTAAAAATTTATACTCATCTTTTCAATTAAATAGGATCATATAGATACATGTATGGTTAATTATTTGGCGAAGCAGTCTTGCCACACTGATCACTGCAATGTTGTTCCGCCCCTGCCTTGGTAGCTTTATTACTTTAGTTTGTTAGGGAATTATATCTTATTTTGACATACTTCCCATTGTTACTTGGTGCTTTTTGTATGAATTTCTTGCAGAAAATGTGGCCTTATACAACATGTTTCATGAATGCTATGCTATATGTAAGTGATAAAGGAATGAATTTTCCTTCTCTGCAGAGAATGCTAGAGTTATGGTCCTGGCAGCAACCAATCGCCCAACTGACCTTGATGAGGCAATACTTAGGCGCTTTTCTCAGTCATTTGAGATTGGGAGGCCTTCCCTTAGTGATAGAACAAAGATATTTAAGGTAGTTTTGAAGGGTGAGAGAATTGAAGATAACGTTGACTTTGATCGACTTGCTGGCTTGTGTGAGGGATACACTGGTTCAGACATTCTCGAGGCCTGCAAGCTAGCTGCCTTTATTCCTCTTAGGGAGTATTTGCACGATGAGAAGAAAGGAAAGCAATCACAGGTACTTCCGCAAGTTGTTATTGTAATTGATTGTTATTATCTGTTTTTCCCGCAACAGCAAATGTGGGGGTATGCATGCGCGTCATAGATCAAATATTTGTGCAATTGACTATGACTTCTAAATAGGCATGGTAACTGTGCATTTTAAGGATTTGCTCCCCGATCTGGAAGTACATGTGTACTGTGGCAACGGCCTCCTTGAGTCTGCCTGTCAAACTGACTTTTAATAATGTTATTTTGGCAGAAGATATGATATGATTCGGAGGTTAGAAAAGTTGTAGTTCATCTTTTGGTTTACTTTACATTCTGGTCATTGGAACTGCCAGAACGAAGTGGAAAACTCTTCTCATATAGGCAATGCAGATGTCTGGAATCATACTGCACAGTCATGTTTTATCTTAATGTGGTGGATAAATGGAGCCTATTCTTACATGTTAATCACTTTAGATATGGTGTTGCTTCAATGATGATTCGTTGTGACTAAGTCTTCTGGCAAGTCTACAATTTCACAGTTTCACTATATATTACAATCCTCATCTAAGCAAAGATTGATTTGTTGTTTATGTTATAGGCACCAAGGCCATTGTCACAGTCTGATCTAGAGACAGCTTTAACTGAATCAAAGAAGACCAAGATTACTGCTAGGAAACCTGCTGTAGTGAGCTTTCGGTTGGATGATTATGAGGTCTCACTTCCGATTTTTGGATTATATCAAAATGTTCATTCGTTAAGTGTTGCGCGATAGATGCTGCAATGCGGCAGATTATTGTGCTTTATATACTTTTACGTTTTCGTTTAGTGACAAGATTTTCTTTCATACTTGCAGGATTTAGACTAAAGCTGGCTCCAGCAGGAGGTAGTATGGTGTTCAAGTGATGACTATAGGCATCTATTGATGAGATCATTCCATAGGCCTTTTCCATTCGGAGAATCTCAATGCTCTAACCTGCTTAGGAATTTGGAAGATAGATAGATCATTTAACTTCATTGTTTCAATGTTGTAAATACCATGAAAAAATAGAGGAGTTGCATTAGTACAAGCTCATTTAACTTCATTGTCTTTGGAAGGATCCAAATGATTGCTATTCCTGATAATTTGAATGATGGAAAAGAACTCAAGTGCAGCTTTATTCCTTCTTATTTCTGTAACAAGTCCAGTGTGTCTGACTCTTCATTTTGTTTTTTGGATGTTGTGTGTGGGACCACAGTCCTTGACATGGTACGCTGGGTTGATCAGTTTCTTTCGATCGACACACTTTCTCTAGATTTACGGATAAATGCAGTGAATGGAGCTTACGGACAGAATCTCAAGTATTATTCTATTTAAGGACATACAAGTTCAGTTTACTGCATTTACAAAACTTTAAAAATAATAAATAAGCAACAAGGTGGTTAAATTTTATCTGCTTCTGAAATTGATCTATCAATAGGAAAGGGGCTCAAAATCCTCAACTTAAAGCATAAATCCAGGCCAACACCAGCAAAAAGAAAGATCAAAAGATTCTCAGAAACATAGACCGCGCCATCAAGAGCATGAGACCAGAAGCTGCCAGTATCCAACTCTAATGGTGGTCCACCTCCGAGTGTAGCAAGGCCTGCATTAAATGGAAATAGAATCGTTTAGTTTATAAATACCAAAATTATTGCGGAAACTTTCTTTGGCAAGACCAGGATAATACAGCAAATTGAATGGGCTAGAACTAGAATATGTGTGCATCACCATACTAGTTGCAGCCAAGAAACAAGTATCCGATTCAGCTAAGCAATAGCCTTGAGAACATCCTTTGCCAGCTGATTGAACTCTTAATGTAATCAATCAGTCAATCAAGCATCCCTCGAATCTAAACAAGTTGGGAATTACCAAAGAAAATGGAAGGAGAAAAGTGACACAGTACAATGACTTAGTATGAGTATATAATACCTTTGACAAAACCAAATGCTGCAGATGTCCCTGACTTGAGCTGAAAATTGTCCAAATCTCTTCTTACAGCATAGCGAAAGGTTACACCAAACAAAGCACAACTGATAAAGGTGATTGAAAGAGGGAGTATTAGCTCTGAATAGCTGGTGATTCGACTTAAGGAAATGGGAAGCCCTGCAAGCGTGCCAACGATTGCAGAAATTGAAGCCGCTTTTATGGATTCTACTCTCTCCTCATCTCTATTTATTACATCCCCGTCTGTTCCCCTGGAAGCATCTCTCCTTCTAGCATCATCACCAGCGCTGAGGGAGCGCTCAGCTTCTTCAATCATTGCTCTTGCTTCTGAAATATCTTTCTGGCATTCTGCAATCTTCAATTGCATCAACCTATCAGTACCTTAACTATAGCATGTAGCAACAATTGTTCTCGAAAAGCTTTAATGACTTCTTAGAGCATCTGCAAGACTATGAACTATGCTAACATTATTCTTAAGACGTTCGGAAACTTGTAACACACTCCTACTTAAGGTGCTAAAACAAGTCAATCAATCGTTCAACTATGTGTCAATTTCAAAGTAGTTGTGTCAGCTATATAATTCCTTTCTAGCTCTCAATCTTACCCCATATGGGCAGACAAGGTGCTAAAACAAGATTTCCGTAAATTGGACTGAGGTCGCTTGAGAGTCCCCTTTACCCAGTTTAACTTAGTAAGCAGTTTGTTTGCAGTCCCTTATGATGATCCATTGGCTATTTCGCGCACATAATCAAGTAAATCTATTATGATCTCGAAAAGCATAGAATTAATATCTACAGTCTGTTCTAAAGCTTCCGAGTTGAAGTGCCAACCAATGTTGTCAAATGCTCATTTGAGGCGCGCTTAAATCCTGAAGCTCAAAAAGCTCAGTGCATGCGCTTCGCCTCGCTTAGACTGCGCTTCTGTGTAGGCAACGCACTAAGGTATGTGCCGCATTGCCCATAAGTTCTATCTTGAATAGAGCGGTACAAAACAATAAATATAATTGACAAAAAGATATATTAATTGTTAAGGAAATCATTATGAATGAAATTCTTAATTTGTTCTTGCATTACATAATTTTTATTTTATTTTTTCCTTCATTGCGCCTTTTTAAACTAAAGCCCACACTTCAATTCCGTTTTGCGTTTAAAGCTCCGATAGACCTGGAGCGCTTTTTAACGCTTTTCGCCTTTGACAACACTGGTGCCAACTAAAGAACCACACTTCCTTATTTAAAGGCATGAATTCAGATCATTGCTCTTTATTTTCCTGTGGTTTAGCAATTGCAGGTCAAGACGACTACAATGTAGTTAGGTACGAACAATCTATATGCATAATGACAAAAAATCTAGGAACAAATAGTAATCCCTGTCAAAACATAAAGAATATCTAAAATAAAGCTCAACCTTTCTCTCAATAAATCTATCTAGACTAAACGATACGATATGATATGAGACAGCGAGATACAATTGGACAGCAGAGGGCTGCCTGTGCCCAAAAGCAGTGATTCACTTGCTCCTTTGTACATAGAGTTAGCTAGTCGTATCGAACACATGTTATTCAATCGAATTATTATGCAATAATAGCAAGATGTACTAAAGCATAAACAATTTAAGAGTGAGAAAGAAGGGAGAAAAAGGATTTAAACTTATGATACATTGACAAAGTAGAGATTTCTTGCAGCACCAACGTATTGAAGTTTATGGGTTCTGAAATTGCCGCCGAACCCATAGCCCGTCTTAGTTAGCAATTTCACAATTAAATATATATACATAATTAACAGATTTCCCAATACAAATATAAGGTCAAAGAAAACTCGCGTGTTATATAGTAGTATTACAGCCAGAGCTCTCTATAACAACATACTTATATAACAACACTTCACTATAAAAGTCAAATTTTTACGGAACCAAATGTCATGTTTTGTTATAATATAGGTTCTCTATGACAGCAGATCCCTATAACATCCAAAAATATGCGAAACAAACGAGACTGATATAGAGAGATTTGACTGTAGAATACAAAAGTTAAATTGAAAAGAAAAAAAACTGACCTCAGAAGTTCTAGTTTCAAGCTGAGTTATATAATCCTTCAACAATTTAACTTCCAATTCTTGTCTTTCAATATCAGCAAGTTCTTTCTTAGCCATTTCTACTCTTTGAGTTGCTTTCTCCAACCCATCAAGCAAAACCCGGTTTTCTTCTCTGTTCAAAAGTTCCTCTACTCTTTCGTCCACAATACCAGTCAGTGCATCCTTCAAATTCCCCGTTTCACCATTTCCTGAGCTATTATTATTATTAATATTATTACTATTGCTGCAATTTATAGTTAGAAATTTTACCCGTGAAAATGAAGATGTGTCTGATAATTTCAATGGATTATACACTCTTTTACTAAAGAGGATTTTTGGGTGTGGAAGTAATGAGGAAATTGAGGTGGCTACGGTGGTCTTCATAATGTATTCTCCGGCGGAATTGGCCGTCGATAAAGAGCGTGGCAGAGCTTTTTTACCTTATCGTCTTGAAAACAATTGTTTGGTCTTTTTTTTTTCTTTCCTTTTTTCTTTTTCTTTTTCAATTTTTTTTCTTTTTTTTTTTAAAAAAAAAATTGGACCATTTCTCTATTTGTGCGTGGCATGGTAGGGCTGTGCACGGATCGGATCGGATCGGATTAGCATATTTCGGATTCGAATTTCGGATTCTAGAAAATGCAATCCGAATCCGATCCGAATTATATCGGACTGGATCGGATTTTAAAGTTTGGATCGAATAGGATTTCGGATCGTATTATTATGCCTCAAAGTTAAAGTAATATGTATATTTTCTTTGTAAAAGAAGCAATACATTAAGAAAAATTCATGTTTATGCAATTATGAGAGTACTATGATGCCAATATAGTTAAATCTAGCAATTGTAAAGGTAATAACTTGGAGGTTGATGTAAAGGAAGTACTGACTATCCAAAATTAAAGTGTAGTATTTATACATGCCCTAATAATTTCGAATTTCGGATCGGATTAAAATATACCAATCCGAATCCGATCCAATCCAAAATTCGAAATTCGAAATTGAATGGATCGGTTCGGATTTCGGATATCCGATCCGAATGAACAGCCCTAGTGGCACCCTTTCGCAGGGGCCATACTAATCTTCTCTGTATCGTTCTAATTTTATGGAATGTCTACGAAGGGACATTGTTTGGTCTTTTTACTAAAGCAAATCTATATATATATATATATATATATATATATATATATATATATATATATACTAGTTTCTCGGCACGTGCGTTGCACGTATATGCCGAGTCCATTTTATATAATAATATCATTATTACTATTGAAATAAGGCTTTTGAGTATATAATTACATGAAAGAATTAAGTATATATGTGAAGGATCAATGTGGAATCATGATTTGTTTATCGAGGACACAATAATTGAGTCGTCTAAACGTACGAAGATGAACAATCAATAATCATATTTATATTTTACAAGTTGCATATATTATTTATATTTCATCCATATAGGACATCAAATGAACACCTGTCATGAACTTGTGTAATAATAACTTAATTTTTTTATTTGTAACTATTATCTCTCTTATTCTACTTCACCCTTTTACAGTTTATGATTTTATTGTTACTAAAATACAAACAACATCTGAAAAGCTTGACATTAAAATAAGGGAGTAAACAAGTACAAACATATTAACAATTCATATATAAAGAATTACCAAAGATAGAACCGTCAGATAAATTTCTGCAAATAATAAATGTGGATTAATGTATAGTAGTTTGTTTGTTGATAGAAAGATGATTAGATATCCTCTAAACATAAGATCAGCAATCAAAGTTCCAATATGACTTTTTTACTTATTTTTATTTTATAATATAAAATATAACGAAGTGTATCTTACCTAATATTTCTTTATAAACGATATTTATTTTATCTATTTTAAGTGCTCTGTCATGACTCGGACTCTTTGTTGACAATAATTTTCCTCTTCGAAGTGCAACAATAAACTGACCATGTGAGAAAATATGTTGTAGTAGATACGATCCAATTAGAATCATGTTGACCAAATATTTATTTATCATCATCGCAATAACCATACGCTAAATTATTTTCGAACGGATTGGAATGAAAATCTTTATAAATTTTACATGTCATTGGCTGATTTAGCATCTTTCACTTTTTAAAAACTTTCACCATCTTTTCCGTAAAGATTTTTCATGATAAAGTAACATTTATATTGATCACGTTAGTATTTTAAGATTATAAATTGCATAAATTTCATTAACTTATCCTACTACGTCAATGATAATTTTTTATTAAAATTTATTGATTTTAATTAACTTATCTTTCATTTGTAACTATTATCTCTATTATATTTGCTCCGTTCATCTCCAGTAAGTGGTTTTACCGTTACTAACACGCAAATTGCGTCTGAAAAGTATGAGATTAGAATTAGTGGTAATTATCAAGTAATTATGATGTGTGAAGAAAATTCAAAAATTTATATAAAGAATTGCCAAATGTAGTCTTGTCATTAAATTAACAGCATGCACTGGAAGTAGCTATTATTATTATTTTAGTTAATATTTTAAAATAATTATAATTATTAAAAAAAAAAAGTATCACCAACTGCGTGATGAGTAATGCAAATAACCTGTTCGAAGAGAACAAACAAACTTACATTAGGTACAATATTAAATTTGCAATAAAATATAAATTATTAAATAAAATTGATACAAGTGCACGTACTTATAATACAAATATAATGTCACATACTTAAATAATTAAACATTGATACTTTCATAACACGTACATTAAAAATTGAACTCACCACAATACATGTTTATATATTTACAATGTACATACATCTATAAAATTGGGACAATAATAAAGTTACTTAAATAATTTCATGTGATAGTTTAATTTGTAGTAAATTTTTTAAACAAAGTAAATTAGCCAACGTGGAGAATTATTGGATTTGGCTTATTTTCATGAATCATAATCAATAGTGTACACAGACACGTTATATTGTGTTACTTTACTTCCATAAACTAAGAATTGAAAAATAGTATTGCTATCATTAAGCAAATTATCACTGATTATTAAGCCATCAGTCGGGGAGTGTAGTTTCAAAATTTTATAAAGTTTCTTCATTATCTTCAAGGAGTATACAAATAAAAAGGAGAAATAAGTCCATGAAAACCTACCTTGCAAGAAGATGCTGTCTCAAAAGAGGTATGTGATCTCGCCCAACTATGCCTTATAAAAAGGACAATGCGGTCATTGCAAATATAATCCGGTTTACAAGTCCGGAGTCGAATCCCACAGAGAACTAAGGTTTAGCTACAGCTGTTCACTATCACCAAGAAGACAAGCTTGAACAATTCCTAACTTATAGATATTAAGATTCTTCTGTTTAACTAATTAACTAACAAATTAAAATAGTAAATTAACAACTAACGATACTGAGGGTTAGAGAAAAGATTAAGGAGGTCTAGAGTTATGATTTTCCCAATTGTCGGAATCCTTCCCGCTATGTCTTCTATAATTTCGCCTAAGTGTTCTCTACCGATCATGAGCACTCTTATTACCGTAAATCTCTCCCGAGTAATTACGACAATTTACTAGACGCACTCTCCCGAACTACGCTAGCTGGCTTTTAATACAGCTCACTTCAGACCGGACCCAAGGCTTCGTTATCCCTAATCCCACCTTTAAACCCTCGGTTATTGATCCCTCATATACTCTGGGAGTGGTGTTGTTCAATAATTACCTAAATATGCACTCTCTCCCGAGTTATGCATACTAAATAGGCACAGCTAATTGAGAGCTCTTCAACCAACTACAATATAAACGTAGTTGAACAAATAGAGAAAAGTTATGGCTCAATTATATAAAAACATAACAAGAATTTATCCTACAAAAGGTTCTATCAAAACTCTAGATAACAAATTAGCTATTCATAATAGTATGTAAAACTACAATACTAAAAGTCATAACCAACAATGAAAAATAGGAAGAGGAAGGAAAAACTCGTAGAATAATTCTCCGCCTTGCTCCCAATGTGTTCTTGCCTCCTTAGGTCGAATCTATGTCCAAAATATGTCCCCTGCTCCTTCTTGGCCGGCTTCCTTCGTTTAATATAGGGTTTAGGGCTTAAAATCCCGTATTTTGCACATAAGTCCCTGAAATTTCCGCCTCCTGCCGCAGTTTTGCCGCGGTCGCGGTGGAACTGCGGCCAAACATGCCCTCTGATTCTTCAGTTGTCCGCGACCATCTTCTACCGCGGTTCTGCCGCGGTCGCGGTGGAACAGCGGTTTTTCACCCTGTTCCGTTTGGAATTTGGAAAAACGTAAAACATGAAAGTTGTAGCCCTTTGAGTTAGCTTTCCAATCATATATTGTGGAGCCCAAATGAAGTTCTTAGCAAAATGTTATGTCTATTTTACTAGACAGTGCGCAATATGCCTCCTCGAGTCTTCGTTCGTACTTAATTATCAAATTTGACCCCCAAACATGATCCCGGCTTAATTCCTTGAACTTTTACTCAAACTTTAAAGCTCCAAATCACTTGAATTCATTCCATAACATCTATATATCTCGGAATCATTCCTACAAGGCATAAAACACACCGTTAGTGCAAAACACTAGCGATTAAAGCGCAAATCAATTAAAGTGCAGTAAATTAGAGTGTAATAAGTGACTAAAATATGCAATTATAGCCTATCATCAATACCCCACACTTAAATCATTGCTCGTCCTCGAGCAATCAAACTACATTTTTTTTATAGACACGACCTTTTTAAACAATTCTCCTAACTCATCACACTAAGAGTATTTAAAATAGACTAAGCACAAAAGTGTAACATCTTCACCTCAAGATTTGACTCACAAGTACCACGCATTATTCACAACTCACCTACTTACTCTAACATAGAGGTCACTGACATTACCTTTCCTTCATGAATCAAGTGCCCTCACACAACACAAGAGAGTAGTTCCACACAATAAAATTTAAGAACACTTAGGAACTCAAGATAGAAAGAATTCACTCACTCTCAGAAATAACATTCATATGCCACAAAAGATGCACCATAGGCTTGCCCGTAGTGTACTACTCCACTAATCGAGCTCATTCAATCTCGGATCAATTAGAACTTTATTTGGTTGTAATGTAGACTACGGGACGGGTAGGATATATTTAGATATAAGAGTGACTACACCTCCCTAAGCACTTTAATACATACATTTTAACATTTAAACTCCATACTTATGTCAAACCAAAATTCCAGCTTCACATCAATGTAAATTATCCCATTCTTCTTTAAGCACACTAACGTCAAGAACCACCACTTATCAAGGAATTATTATTATTATTATTTTTTTTACAACAATCCAGCTATTTTTTTTTCCAATTCAAGTGGCTTTTACTTTTTCAAAACAGTGCACCTTTCTCCTTATTTCATTAGTTCCACTCAAAAGCCAAACCAACCACCCCACACTTTAACTTTTACAAAGTTCATAAACAATTCAAGTG